AGTTTTGGGGAGGCCAAAAGTTTCAAGGTAGAACCAATGGTAGGTCAGCTCAGGTAGGATGATGGTGACCTGATTCCACCGGTCATTGTTAGAAAATGGCTTACTAGTTTAACCCAATATCTAAAGAAGGGTAGCAACAAAATGATAACAATGCTTGGGCAAGAGGACAATAGACCCTAAGCACAAAAGAGTTGTGTGCTCAGATAAATTTTAAGCTACAGAATCCACCTCTTTTCCCCATCTTTCAGGTCAGTTCGTCTTCTATGACCGACCATCTTTCATCTTCAATTGTTCCCCCTTTTGAGGTTTTGTCTCATTAGTTTTCTTTTACTTCTTTTTTTCCACCTATAAATGCCCCATTGTCACCTTCATTTCTTTTTGGTCAACTATTGTTGAGATTACTTATTCTCTTGATGGGTTTCCACCTCGCCTTTCTTCGTTCAAGATCATGTTGCTCTCAGCCATAGTTCAATCCCAAAATCCTACTTTTGCTCAAGATTTAGAGTCTTCTGGCAAATAAGATTCTGATAATGAGGAGGTTCTATGGAAGAACAAGAGCAAGAGAGTATCTGGATTGAGAAAAGTGATGGTGAATAGGGGAATCTTATAGAGCAGGATGAGTTGACCGAGATTCTATATATACTCTTTCTGATCTCGGTATGATCCCAAAAGACGTAATGAGGGAACTAAATGACAGGGTTAATCTTGAAAATTGTCCTAATATGTGTTCATAAATGTGATTGTTTGTATTTTTGGTTTGAGATTTTAAGAGATTGAGTAAAAGTGCTCATAGATTTAATTAAAATTGATTTTTGTTAGGTGAGTATTGTTTGGATTAAGTTTAATCACAAGTGAGTTTGAAAATTATTGATTATTAATGTGATTAGAATCACATTATATTGTCATATCTTGGTGCAAATATTTATTATTTAATTTTGCTTTTGCTTTTTACCAGATTAATTGATGACCTTTTGCCGAAATAGTGGTAATAGAGCTAGGCTAGTTAAAGTCTACAAGGGTAGAAGATAAAGCAATAATTTTGATTAATTTCATAATTGACAAGTATGATATCATAACTGTATGATTGATAAGGATATTTTTAGTAACAAAGATCTGACTGCTTTAATTATAATCAAGAAATGTGCATAAATGAAGGGAGTTCATAATTAGTTTTAGAAGCAACTCGCAGAGAAGTTACAAAATAAATACGTCTTTTTGTAAATTCCACATCTACAAGACGCGAAGCGACGAGGCGAGAAGTTGCTTATAAAAGATGTGGGCTTGGAAGGGTAAAAGAAAACTTTCTACATTTATTAAGGCCAAGCTTTTGTTTCAACTAAACATATGATTCGTGGACCAGAAGGTCCACCTGATGTTAAGCTTATTTCTTTACGAGTAGAGCCCATCCCACGGTAGCTTTTTATTGGATTTGGGGGCTTTAGAGCGTTGCCCATACCAATAGCAGTACCATCCAAGTTTCAATTTTAACTAGTCTTAACTCGTTGTGGTGTAGAAAGAATTAAGATGGTATTTATGGAGTTACGAATTAAAATTAGATTGAAACATGCTTTGTTGAGTATCAATAAAATTTTTATTTAAATAATAGTAGTTTCTAAATTGTGAAAACCAATTTAATTTGGGATAGGGAAATTTTTTTAAAATACTAGTGAGGGATTCAATTTCGTCCGATGCATTAAATTAATTTATAGTTAATCCTGTATTAGAACAACTATATTTGAAAAATTCGAAAAGGGTCTATGCATTATATAAAACATAAAAGTAATTCTCAAGTTAGTCAGGCACTGACCTATACAGGTTTTACCCAGCCTTGGGGGCATGATTGAGGTTTTTATTAGGGAAACATTTTTCAGAACTTTTAATTATAAATATGCTGGCTGCCAATATTTTTGACATGATCTTAATTCATTTTGGATGGACGGTGATGTTAATTTTAATAAAATTAAAAAAATAATAAATATTATTATAATTATAATCAAAAAATTTATATTAAATAAATCTCTTTTAAATTAATATTTGAATTTACACCTTCCTGAAGGTGCGATTGCATCGCTTTACGGTTATCCAAAAGACTCTTTAGTTTGATGTTCAAACACCCTTTAAAAATTTTTTATCATTGGTTCAGTTCCGTCTTTGTATATCATTTTTAGTTCAAACTAGTGTCACACGTGCTTAAGAGGAGAGCAGGCACGGTGCAATAGATGACTTTGCATTTAAAAAAAAAAAATAATGACCATATGACATAAGCAACAAGTTTGTAGATGGGAATAAGTGTTTGTTTAGGACTTTAGGGATTTGTTTAGCCATGTGTAATTTAGCAATGAATTTCATTGATCAGTTTATTTGCCCAAAATTTAGTTTTAATAAATTGATTTTTAAGAACAATATAGATCCCGAGCCTACCTGCCCAGATTATCTTCTCTAAATAATATCAAATATATATGTCAGACTTCACTAATAATTTGTTTTCCGACAATCAAATTTTTTAAATGTTACTTTTTTATTACGTGTCAATATGTGAACCTAATAAGTTAATCAATAAAAAGATGCTTCTATTTGTATTTTTCCATTAATAAAATGAGTTTGACATTTAAATTTAGTTGGTATTATTATAATATCTTATTATATATTTGTCTTAGATAATTTAAGAAAGTGGTTTAAGGGTGCTGTATAAGGGGAGAGCAATGTTCCCAATTATAAATAATTCATGGAAAATTCAACTAAAATACTAACCTATGGCTGTAAATAATCCACGGCATCCCTCTCCTACATTCCTTTTCACACTGAAATTATGCCTCCTATTATTTTCCACAACCAAAACTAGATTAAGTTAGTTGTGGACCTAATATCTGATATTTAGTGTCAAAATTAAATTTAAGTTGACTGCAAATCTGATATCTTAGTATAAAAATGTATTTTGAGACAAAAAATCCTTCAGCAATTATATATATACAAAAAATATACGTAAGGCTAGATTTTGTACATACGTACACAGCAACCAACCAGCTAATTCACTTGAGAAGATTAAACATCCAACTTTCACTTTTGAATGTAATAACATAAAATTTGGGTTTTCATGTTACAGAGGTGAAAGCAACCCTTGTTTCCTGCAAAGGATAAAACAAAGGTTTTTTCCACCAACCAAGTCACCCATTCAAACCAACCTCCACCAGGACCACTACCTGCACCATCCTTCACCACATGTTCTTTTTTCTTTCCCATTTTCCAAATTTACTTCTCATTCCACTAACTACACATGTGTTCCTCTTGTTATATGAAAAGAAAAATCTATCTGTCAGGTGTGGTAATTGCTTTGAGGAAAGCAGTAGACTGAGCTTTTGATATGCTAGTTACAAATATTTTAGGTTCTGTTTTGGAAGAGAAATGATGGTGGTGAAGGTTTGATTTTTGGTGTTAGAAATTGAGATCAATAAACTCTCGATGAGTTTTTGATGGCTGTCTAAGGGTTCTCAAAGAATGGATTAAGTGGTGGAATTGAAAGTTGATCTTCAACTTAAGATCTATGCGTGGGAGACTTTGTGTGCTAGGGATGGAAATGAGGCAGCGAAGACTGTCAATGGTTAATTTTTCCGGTAGCTTGTAGCGGAAGTTTGAAGTGATTTGTTTTTTTTACTTATTCGCCCACTTCAGGCTGAGAGCTTGGTCAAATGGAGAGTGACATAAATTTTGACTTAATGTAGCAATTGATATGACGATCAATATAGCTGTCATGTTATTTTTCTATAATAATTTGGATGAAATGTATTAGAATGATTAGATTTAATTTACTTCACAAACTTATTGATACACGAAGATTCAATTCACTCTACAAATTTATTGATACATGATAAAATTGACAGATTTATATATAAAAAAGGAAGCCTAGCATTTACAGTGTAATTAACTCATCATAATATCGTATGTAAGAAAGAGAATTAAAAATAAGAGGAATCTTACAAAAACGGGACCCACATCCTCATACTTGCGGCGGTCTTGCTAAAAGAGCTGAAACAAAGGTCGGCCGCGTAAAAGGATTCAGTGGGGCTATAAATAGATTGATTTGACGGTCTCTGATTGGGGCCAACGATGTTGGAGAAGAAAGAAAGAGAGTTGATTTAATACTTAATTAAGCTTTCTTGGTTGACGCTCTAAAAGAGAGTCGATGCATCGGAGAAGCATAAAAGAAAGAGCCAAAATTGACTTGTAGGGAACACATAAAATATCTATAAATAAAAATAAACTAAACACATTTGTCAACACTCGAGCTGTACCTGTATATATATGGATATAATACCCTATGATTAGCGTTAATAATAGGTTCAATTATAAAATAAAAAATATTTAACTAAATTGATGTAACTCAATTTCTTGTATAAAGAGTTTCATTGAACTATAATTATTGGATACAAAAAGAAGAAAGAAAAAGAGCACATTATTCTTTTAATAAAAAATAAATATTAAATTAAATTTAATTAATTTATATAATTATTTTTTAAAAATAATATTTAATAGATTTTTGAGTTCATATTTTTGTATTCTTAAATTATTTATATATTTTATACCGAAAAAATTAATACTCATTTATATTTTGATTATTATATGTTCGAGAAAATAAAAGCCATAGCAATCAAACTAAAAGGATAATTACTATTCCAAATATTCAACATTCTTTTATTTTGGCACCCTTTTTTTATTCAACTTAAGAAGCTAAAAATAACAAAAGCGCAGAGCAGAGTCAGAGCAGTTGAAAACTTATTCAAACCCAGGTTTGTCTTTATTCAAGGTGGTCGGTACAGAAAACACCGGCATATCCACCACCGTTGCCGCAAGCTATTACTCCCCGTCGCCGCCATCGCCACTGTCATCGCCGCCTTCATCGACGACGTCATCGCCTCCGTCATCGCCACCATCATCCCTTATCAAAGCTAAAATAGCGTCCATCATAGCTGTCTCATCAAAATTCTCGTTATTACCATCTGCTTCGAGGAAAACATCCACCAATCTATCCCCAGCTTCTTTGGTTGCAAGCATTCGATCCTTCTTTCTCACAAGCATTGCTAGTTCTCTCTCCTTCGCTTCCAGTGCAGCTTGATCGGCCCTTGCCGACTCCTTCATGAGCTTTGTCTTCTCTCTTTCCTTTGTCAATTCAGCTTCCGGGACGCTTAAGATAGCCTCATCGACTGCACCTAGTGGATCCTGTTTGAAAATTTCTATTTAAAAAGGCAAGCAAAGCAAAAAATAGAGCTAGAGAGTTTGCTGGATGCAGCAGTAATTATTTTGAGTACAAGTAGTATAAAGCACTGAAGCAGCCGCCATGTTCAACAGAATTTAAGGTGGCTTATTAGTTAATAAATTTGATTAACTAGAAATGAAAAAAGAAATACTAATTCAAGCCTGAATTAAATTATAAGTTATAGAAAGAAAAATAAGAAATCTGACCATTAAAGCTGAAGAAGATCGAACACTGTAATCGGAGACGGTTGCAATCAAACAAAAAGGGCAAAGAAAGCTAAACACAGCCCCTGGAACGGCAAAAACGTAATATAAATAGGGAAAATTTTAAATGATGTTTTTACTATAATTTATAAATCAAAATTAAAATAAAAAATCTTATTATATAAATTAAAGAGATTAAATTTAAAATTTTTTTAATAAATTTTAATATATATTTTAATATAAATATTTTAATAAAAATATTATTAAATTTATATTATTAAATAAATTTCAATTAAATTTAAATTATAAATAATATTTTTAATTATTTTGATATATTATTAATTTTAATATTAAATTTTATCAAATTATCAATTTAAATTTTTTTATTAAAATTTTTATTTAATATATTTTTTAAAAAATTAATAATTTACTTAAGAGCTTTACTTAAATTTTATCCCTTCAAGCTGCAGTTGGTGGGCCGAAATTTTCTTTTAGGACCATTTTCACGCGGAGAGACAGGACGGCGACTTCCATCCAATTGGGGCTACTTAGTACAAGACAAGATCTTTGTGGTTGGATTAAAAGAAAAAAACGTCTTGGTCGGGGGAATCATAATATTCTTTTCGTTTTAAATAATTATTTTTTATTAATTTTTTTATCAAAATAACTTTATTTGGATTTTCATATTTTATATATAATATTAAATTAAAAATTTAAATATATATGTTTTGAAAATTTTGAAACTCAAAATTTAAAAATTTTATTAAAAATAATTATAGACACTTATTTTCATCCGAAATATGTAACTAAATTCTCGATTATGAATTTCATCAAGAATGTTGGTTTAAGGGATTGTGGACACTTGTTTTTGTTTAGAATGTCATAAATTTCTCGATCCAGATATCTTTGAGCTTGTCAGGCTTTAAAGATGTTCATGTTTGGGTCGATTTCTTATTTTATTTGAGCTTTGAGCCCAAGAATTGTTAATTGGATGTAGGCTTTAGGCCAAACCAATATTTATTATTATTATTATTTATTTAGATTTTATTCTTCCTTTCACAAGAAGTTAATAAAATTTGTTGGAATCTTGTATATGAATTGAATCGGATGAATAGGGTTTGGATTTTTTTTTAATTGAAAATCAAAATCAAGTGGAATCATTGACCATAATCAAATCGTGATAAAATCTCAGAATTCAAGAATGGATTAATGCTACTAAATCCTTAAAATTTTATTAAGTAAACCTTATAAACGAATCCCAAAATCACATAGAGCAGGCAACGAGGAGAAGAGGCAAATTTTTGGGTAAGGGAAATTTTCTTTTTTTTTGTTGGAATATTTTTACAGATTTGGGTCCTATGAAAATTGGTTTCTAAGATCACGTTTTGGGAAGAATTGATTCTGTGTGATTGCTGGTTTTATTTGGAATTTGGGGTTTTTGGAAAAATCTGAAAATTTTGAGTTTTAGGAAGAACATTTGAATTTTTTGGCCATACTTAAAGTTTTTGGTCAAGTTCTGACGAGTTTTCCAGATACCAATGACTAAATACAGTTTTCGACAACTGAATCTAGGGATTCTAAAGAGAAGCGAGGGAGAAAAAAAAAAACTAGAGAGAAGGGGCTGAGAAAGGTTTGAGAAAAAACAAAGGAATTTGCCTTTTATTTTAGCCAAAACAACACCATTTTGAAAGTCTAAGATCCGTGTGTTAACCTGTTGACTCTGCTCTAAACCCGACTCGATTGTATATATTTTTTTCTTTTATTTTTTGTTTACATTTTTATTGATTTTATTTATTATTATTATTATTATTATTGTTGTTGTTGTTGTTGTTGTTGTTTTATTTATTGAATAATTTATTACCTTTTAGATACCTTTATGAATTTCAATAACCAAAAAATATTTCTAAAATAAATTCATAAATCTTACTAAACTATTGGAAGACTCTTCATTAATTTAAATTTTTATGAATTGTATCAAACTATTGAAGAATTTTATGAATAAGATTTTTTATAAAAAAGAATACTAAAATATTTTGTTTTGATCTTATCAAACTATTAAAAGATTTGCATCTTAAATAAAATCTTATTAAACTATAGAAAGATTTAATATATTTTCTAAAAATAATTTTACAATAAAATCTCACCAAACTGTTGGGAGATCTGCATCAAAGTAAATCTTACCAAACTATTGAAAGGCTAATATTTTCTTTAATAAAAATATATTAATGAACCCGACGACAGAACTTTTTAAGAGTGATACACTAGTCTCCATGAATACTTGTGAGGTGAATAAATTATCTTAAATTGCTACCAAACTATTGGAGCAAATTTAGGATTAGTTTCTAATAATTAAATAATTTGATAAAATTATAAAAATATTTTAAGACTTGGATAATTTGAAATCAAACTGGTATTATCCTTTAGATGTGTGCTATGAGGGTGCTATAATATTCCTTACGCGTAATTGCACTCTTAAACCTAATATATGATTTTATGGACTAGAATATACTATTTAAATATATCTAAGTCAATCTTGAGACTTCTATTTAAATATGATAGATTCTGTCAGAAGATCAATCACACCTAAACAAAAAAGATTGGTGGTAATTTTTTAAGTCTATGTCTAGTGATAGATCCATAAATCTATATGTTATGACAGTTTGACGACTTCACTAGGGATATAAGAGAGTCAGGCTAGCAAATGATTTCTTGTTATCCAAGCTTAACCTAATAAATTTAAAATTTTTTTCTTTCTTGTTTGTATTTTATTTATTTATTTATTTATTCATTTTCATACATCTGTCATTTATTTGCATATGCATAACATGAGTTTTACACTCGAGTTCTATCTCTTAGGAAGGAGTAAAGTATCTATACTTTTGTGAGATTTTATATCTTTGCATGGGCTAGTAAAACACTTTCACTCAAATTGAATCTTTTTCACTTGTAGCCTATAATGGGCAATGATTTGAGTGCCTTACTAGTTTATGATGGACGATAATGTAATGAATAATTTGAGAGCCTTTTAGAAATGACCCAAGCTACATATAGTTAACCTTTTGAGTTTAACCCATAGGTAGAGCTATGTTTCCTTACCTTTTATAGTTAATCCAAAATTTAAAGTTATGTTGTTATTGCATTCTACTTGCTTTATTGTGTTTATTCTTTACTTTACATTAAGATGACTCACCAATTTCTTGTTTGTCTTTCTTTTTGTACGTATTCATAGAAGAGAATAACGATTAGACGTAAAGGCAAAGAGTGTTCCTATGTTTACACTCCAATGAGCAAGTCAAAATGAGTGAGGTAAAAAAAAAAGTAGTAAGAGGAATTAAAAGTAGATTTAACTTGCCTTAGTGATGCATGGATATATATATTTATAGATAAGAGATAGGAGACTATTATGTGATAATAACGACGTGGTTGAGCTGATGTGACACTGAATATGTTATGCTGACTTGACATATTAGGTTGGTATTGAAATTACCCTTGACTGTCTGCTGAAGGCTTCTAATGAGGAGAAAACCATTATACTCATTTGACCATCAAATGCCCCCAACATTCTATCCCTTTTATCAAACAGTTTGAATATCAGATTATTAGGTATATGGTCAGCATATTTCAAGCAGGCTAGATAAGCAAAAGACGATGGCATGAGATTTGATTCCTTGCAGTCAATGTTAATGTGGAGGTCAACTTTGGAAAACAATTAGCCTTTGGTCGTGATCCGACCTAGTAGGGATTTGATCTTTCGCATATCTCTTGGGTTGAGTGATAGCCAACCTGAGAGTTACCGAAGTGTCAAGTGTTTAGAGTGGCCAGAGGTTTATTAAAAAAAGTTCATCTAGTTGATGTGGGACTTGTGTTTTATTTTAAGAATTTGGATTCAAATTTTAATTTAGGACTCTGTAGCGAATTAAGTGTTAGTGTGCTAAGTTGGTTCAAATAAGGAATCTGTCCCGCTTGTCTTAAAGAACCATCTAGTCTGGTCGATTTGACTTGAAGGACTATCTAGTCTGACTAGTCTAATGGCCTTAAATGATGAAAAAGGTAGTTTGAGCACTAAAATCTAAAACTAAAAGATGAAAAGATATTTTTTCATCTACATTCTAACATATCATGTAGTTTGCGTCATTCATTTGATATGAGATGTAGTTATATAAAGGGTTGTTGGGGCCTTCATTTTTTACCTTTTTACTTTCATTGCTTTACATTCGACCTAAATTTTTTAACCTCAAATTCTTTTTGGCCTTAAAGTTGTTCTTTTTTTTTACCATTTTTTTAACTTTCTTTGGTATGTATTTTCAATTATGTCTTCTAGTTTTAGTTCTGGAGAGGTCAGAAGTTTCAGAGTAGAACCAAAAGGAGGTTAGCTCAGGTAAAATGATGGTGACCTGATTTCAGTAGTCATTGTTAGAAGATAGCTTACTGATTCAACCTAATATCTAAAGAAAGGCAGCAACAAAATGATAACAATATTTAGGCAAAAGGATAATTGATCATGAGCACAAAAGAACTGTGTGTTTAGATAGATTTTAAGCTACAGAATCCATCTATTTTTTCGATTTCTTAGGTTAGTCTGTCTTCTATGGCCAACCTTTCTTCATCTTTAATTGTTCCCCTTTTTGAGGTCTTGTCTCATCAATTTTTTTTGACTTTTACTCTTCCACCTATAGATGCCCCCGTTGTCACTTTCATTCCTTTTTGGTCAACTATTGTTTAGATTACTTATTCTCTTGAGGGGTTTGCTTCATCCTTTTTTCCCCAAGATCGTATTGCTCTCAGCCGCAGTTCAATCCCAAAATCTTATTTTTGCTTAAGAGTCAGAGTTTTCTGGCAATAAGATTCTGACAATGAAAAGGGTTTCGTGGAGGAACAAGAGAAAGGTAGTATCTCGACTGGGAAAGTGATGATGAGAAGAGGAATCCTGTGATACAGGATGAGCTAGCTGAGATTCTTATATATACTATTTTTGATCTCGGTATGATCCAAAAGATGTAATGAAGAAATTGAAAGGCAGGGTTTATCTCAAAGACGATCCTAACATGTGTTCATAGATGTGGTTGTTTGTATTTTTGGTTTGAGATTTTAAGAAACTGAGTAAAAGTGCTCGTAGATTTAGTTAAAACTGATTTTTGTTAGGTGAGTATTTGTTTATATTAAGCTTAATCATGGGTAAGTTAAAAATTATTGATTATTAATGTGATTAGAATCATGTTATATTGCTATATCTTGTGCAAATATTTTATTATTTAATTTTACTTTTGCTTTTTACAAGATTAATTGATGACCTTTTGTCGAAATAATGGTAATAGAGCTAGGCTAATTAAAGTCTACAAGGATAGAAGATAAAGCAATAATTTTGATTAATTTCATAATTAACAAGTATGATATCATAACTATATGATTGATAAGGATATTTTTAGTAACAAAGATGTGACTGCTTTAATTATAATTAAGAAATGTGCATAAATGAAAGGTGTTCATAATTAGTTTTAGAAGCAACTTGCAAAGAAGTTACAAAACAAATATGTCTTTTTATAAGTTCCACATCTCCAAGACGTGAAACGACGAGACGAAAAGCTGCTTATAAAAGATGTGGGCTTGGAAGGGTATAAGCATACCTTTTTCCATTTATGTAGGCTAAGCTTTTATATTAACTTAATATACGATTCGTGAACCATAGGCCCACCTGGTATTAGCCTTATTTCTTTACGAGTAGAGCCCACCCTATAGTAACTTGTTATTGGATTTGGGGGCTATCGACCGTTCCTAATCCAATAAGGATGAGATCAAACAAACAACTGATTCTGGCCAACCAAGTCAGTCTAAGATTGAAACCCATGTTATCGATTTGTTAAACAAACGAAAGGTTTCACAATGCGGTACTTTTTTAGACTTAACCAAAGTCCCTCTTAAAGACTATGAAAAAATCATAAATGATTAGGCACAATCTATGTCTATTATTGTCACGGGATACAAGGAGCAATGGAACAAAAAAAGATTTTTCAACTATTTTTGTGGCACATGGTAAGGTGATGTTCTTCAATTTCTCAAAAAATGAGAAACTACAATCCTCGGAGAATAGCAGAAATCAACTCTGTTAGTCGCAGGAAATATACCTTAACTTCTAAAAGATTTAACCCAAATATTAAAAAATAAGTTTTGTGGTAGTACATAATCTCTGGATCCTACTCAAGAAGCTCAATTTATTTTATCAAAATTAAAATTATGTGATATTTAGTATCTTGATGATTTTTCTAAAAAATATCTTCCTGAATATCAAAAATTGGATGAAAAACATTCAAACTTTTGGTTACAACAATATTTTCTCAAACTTTCTTCACCATGGGATGAATTATGTTCACAAAATTATCCTATTTATTGAGAGTTAAAACTCAAAACCGTTCATGCTACAAATCCGAGTATAGAACTTTATGATACTCTTGGATGTAGAATACACTACGTTCAGAATCAAGTTAACGAATATTACCTCAAGTAAAAAGCTGCAAAACAGGTAAAATCTAAATTTTCGTATAAACAATGTACAAAGATTTTGGAAAATGAATTTGAATTTGGTTGTAATAAATAGTCTTTTTCAAAGAAAAATCATTTAAAAAAAAACTAAAATATTTTTGGAAAAAATGGGAACCTACAACAACTTTTAAACCTAAAAAAGGTAAATTTATTGTTAAAAAGAATAAAAAATCTTCTAAAAATAAATGTAAATGTTTTCTTTATAATCAAGAAGGTCACTATGCAAACAATTGTCCTAAAAAAGGCAAAAGTGCGAAGAAAATGATCAAAAAACTTGATGAAACTTTTCTTCAAATTTGTTTTGCTGATGAACTATCTGACGAAGAAATTTATTATGAAGTTTTTTTAGAAACTGATTATAGTTCTTCTGAATATGAATCAAATTTTATTTTTATGATAAATACTGAATCTAACCAAGATAATGTTTCAGTAACCTCTTTTATAGGTACAACAACTGCCAGTAAAGATGGAATGGTTAAACTCAAGAATATTATGAGAAAAACTCATTTTATTTCTAATGAAAAACTAAGAGAATTACAACTCATCAAACTAGATGAGATTTAAAAAATAAGTTGATTTAAAAAATTTCAGCCTTGGTCAGAATGCCATATAGAAAAATTATCTAGTGATATGGTCGCTAACGATTCTAAACAAGGATCGATAGAAATTTTTTTTTTTACTAAAAAGAAAATAAACCATTTTCTTTCTAGATATCCAAAGGTCAAATACATCCATATCGAAATGATTTTGATCACCATTAAACCACTATTTTTATCCACAAACAAGTTTCAATTTTTTCAAGTCTTTACTGGTTGTGTAGAAAGAATTAATATGGTATTTATGGAGTTATGAATTAAAATTATCTTGAAACATGCCTTGTTTGAGTATAAATCAAATTTTTTATTAAAATAATAGTAGTTTTTAAATTGTAAAACCAATTTAATTTGGGATAGGGAAATTTTTTTAAATACTAGTGAGGGACTCCACGATATGTTAAATTAATTTGTAGTTAATCCTGTATTTAAACAATTACATTTGAAGAACTCGAAAAGGGTCTATGCATAAAAGTAATTCTCAAGTTAGCCACGCGCTGGCCTATACAGGTTTTACCCAACCTTGGGGCCGTGATTGAGGTTTTCATTAGAAGACTTTTCTCATAAATTTTAATTATAAATATGCTGGCTGCCAATATTTTTGACATGGTCTTAATTCATTTTGGATTCATTTGGATAGACGGTGATGTTAATTTTAGTGAAATTAAAAATAATAATAAATATTATTTTAATTTTAATTAAAAAAATTATAAAAAATTTATATTAAATAAATTTTATTAAAATTAATATTTAGATTTAATTGATAGTTATTGAAGCTTAACTACATCTTCCTGGAGGTGGATTGCATCGCTTTACAGTTATCCAAAAGACTCTTTAGTTTGATGTTCAAACACCTTTTGAAAATTTGTTATCAATTGGTTCAGTTCCATCTCATTTTTAGTTCAAACTAGTGTCACACATGTGCTTATGAGGAGAGCAGGCACGGTGCAATAGATGACTTTGCATTTGGAAAAAAAAAATAATGACCATATGACATAAGCAACAAGTTTGTAGATGGGAATAAGTGTTTGTTTAGGACTTAGGGATTTGTTTAGCCATGTGTAATTTAGCAATGAATTTCATTGATCAGTTTATTTGCCCAAAATTTAGTTTTAATAAATTGATTTTGAAGAACAATATAGATCCCGAGCCTACCTGCCCAGATTATCTTCTCTAAATAATATCAAATATATATGTCAGACTTCACTAATAATTTGTTATCCGACAATCAAATTTTTTAAATGTTACTTTTTTATTACGTGTCAATATGTGAACCTAATAAGTTAATCAATAAAAAGATGCTTCTATTTGTATTTTTCCATTAATAAAATGAGTTTGACATTTAAATTTAGTTTGGTATATATATATATATATTTTATTTATATATTTGTCTTAGATAATTTAAGAAAAGTGGTTTAAGGGTGCTGTATAAGGGGAGAGCATGTTCCCCAATATAAATAATTCATGGAAAATTCAACTAAAATACTAACCTATGGCTGTAAATAATCCACGGCATCCCTCCTCCTACATTCCTTTTCACACTGAAATTATGCCTCCTATTATTTTCCACACCAAAACTAGATTAAGTTAGTTGTGGACCTAATATCTGATATTTAGTGTCAAAATTAAATTTAAGTTGACTGCAAATCTGATATCTTAGTATAAAAAATGTATTTTGAGACAAAAAAATCCTTCAGCAATTATATATATACAAAAAATATACGTAAGGCTAGATTTTGTACATACGTACACAGCAACCAACCAGCTAATTCACTTGAGAAGATTAAACATCCAACTTTCACTTTTGAATGTAATAACATAAAATTTGGGTTTTCATGTTACAGAGGTGAAAGCAACCCTTGTTTCCTGCAAAGGATAAAACAAAGGTTTTTTCCACCAACCAAGTCACCCATTCAAACCAACCTCCACCAGGACCACTACCTGCACCATCCTTCACCACATGTTCTTTTTTCTTTCCCATTTTCCAAATTTACTTCTCATTCCACTAACTACACATGTGTTCCTCTTGTTATATGAAAAGAAAAATCTATCTGTCAGGTGTGGTAATTGCTTTGAGGAAAGCAGTAGACTGAGCTTTTGATATGCTAGTTACAAATATTTTAGGTTCTGTTTTGGAAGAGAAATGATGGTGGTGAAGGTTTGATTTTTGGTGTTAGAAATTGAGATCAATAAACTCTCGATGAGTTTTTGATGGCTGTCTAAGGGTTCTCAAAGAATGGATTAAGTGGTGGAATTGAAAGTTGATCTTCAACTTAAGATCTATGCGTGGGAGACTTTGTGTGCTAGGGATGGAAATGAGGCAGCGAAGACTGTCAATGGTTAATTTTTCCGGTAGCTTGTAGCGGAAGTTTGAAGTGATTTGTTTTTTTTACTTATTCGCCCACTTCAGGCTGAGAGCTTGGTCAAATGGAGAGTGACATAAATTTTGACTTAATGTAGCAATTGATATGACGATCAATATAGCTGTCATGTTATTTTTCTATAATAATTTGGATGAAACGTATTAGAATGATTAGATTTAATTTACTTCACAAACTTATTGATACACGAAGATTCAATTCACTCTACAAATTTATTGATACATGATAAAATTGAGAGATTTATATATAAAAAAGGAAGCCTAGCATTTACAGTGTAATTAACTCATCATAATATCGTATGTAAGAAAGAGAATTAAAAATAAGAGGAATCTTACAAAAACGGGACCCACATCCTCATACTTGCGGCGGTCTTGCTAAAAGAGCTGAAACAAAGGTCGGCCGTGTAAAAGCGTTCAGTGGGGCTATAAATAGATTGATTTGACGGTCTCTGGTCGGGGCCAACGATGTTGGAGAAGAAAGAAAGAGAGTTGATTTAATACTTAATTAAGCTTTCTTTGTTGACGCTCTAAAAGAGAGTCGATGCATCGGAGAAGCATAAAAGAAAGAGCCAAAATTGACTTGTAGGGAAAACATAAAATATCTATAAATAAAAATAAACTAAATCACATTTGTCAACACTCGAGCTGTACCTGTATATATAGATATAATACCCTATGATTAGCGTTAATAATAGGTTCAATTTATAAAATAAAAAATATTTAACTAAATTGATGTAACTCAATTTCTTGTATAAAGAGTTTCATTGAACTATAATTATTGGATACAAAAAGAAGAAAGAAAAAGAGCACATTATTCTTTTAATAAAAAATAAATATGAAATTTAATTTAATTAATTTATATAATTATTTTTTAAAAATAATATTTAATAGATTTTGAGTTCATATTTTTGTATTCTTAAATTATTTATATATTTTATACCAAAAAAAATTAATACTCATTTATATTTTGATTGTTATATGTTCGAGAAAATAAAAGCCATAGCAATCAAACTAAAAGGATAATTAATATTCCAAACAGTCAACATTCTTTTATTTTGGCACGTTTTTTTATTCAACTTAAGAAGCTAAAAATAACAAAAGCCCAGAGCAGAGTCAGAGCAGTTGAAAACTTATTCAAACCCAGGTTTATCTTTATTCAAGGTGGTCGGTACAGAAAACACCTCATATCCACCACCGTTGCAGCAAGCTATTACTCCCCGTCGCCTCCATCGCCGCTGTCATCGCCGCCTTCATCGACGACGTCATCTCCTCCGTCATCGCCACCATCATCGCCACCATCATCCCTTATCAAAGCTAAAATAGCGTCCATCATAGCTGTCTCATCAAAATTCTCGTTATTACCATCTGCTTCGAGGAAAACATCCACCAATCTATCCCCAGCTTCTTTGGTTGCAACCATTTGATCCTTCTTTCTCACAAGCATTGCTAGTTCTCTCTCCTTCGCTTCCAGTGCAGCTTGATCGGCCCTTGCCGACTCCTTCATGAGCTTTGTCTTCTCTCTTTCCTTTGTCAATTCAGCTTCCGCGACGCTTAAGATAGCCTCATCGACTGCACCTAGTGGATCCTGTTTGAAAATTTCTATTTAAAAAGGCAAGCAAAGCAAAAAAAAGAGCTAGAGAGTTTGATGGATGCAGCAGTAATTATTTTGAGTACAAGTAGTATAAAGCACTGAAGCAGCCGCCATGTTCAACAGAATTTAAGGTGGCTTATTAGTTAATAAATTTGATTAACTAGAAATGAAAAAAGAAATACTAATTCAAGCCTGAATTAAATTATAAGTTATAGAAAGAAAAATAAGAAATCTGACCATTAAAGCTGAAGAAGATCGAACACTGTAATCGGAGACAGTTGCAATCAAACAAAAAGGGAAAAGAAAGCTAAACACAGCCCCTGGAACGGCAAAAACGTAATATAAATAGGGAAAATTTTAAATGATGTTTTTACTATAATTTATAAATCAAAATTAAAATAAAAAATCTTATTATATAAATTAAAGAGATTAAATTTAAAATTTTTTAAATAAATTTTAATAAATATTTTAATAAAAATATTATTAAATTTATATTATTAAATAAATATCAATTAAATTTAAATTATAAATAATATTTTTAATTATTTTTATATATTATTAATTTTAATATTAAATTTTATCAAACTATCAATTTAAATTTTTTTATTAAATTTTTTATTTAATATATTTTTAAAAAAATTAATAATTTACTTAAAAGGGCTTTACTTAAATTTTATCCCTTCAAGCTGCAGTTGGTGGGCCCAAATTTTCTTTTAGGACCATTTTCACGCGGAGAGACAGGACGGCGACTTCCATCCAATTGGGGCTTCTTAGTACAAGACAAGATCTTTGTGGTTGGATTAAAAGAAAAAAATGTCTTGGTCGGGGGAATCATAATATTCTTTTCGTTTTAAAATAATTATTTTTTATTAATTTTTTTATCAAAATAATTTTATTTGGATTTTCATATTTTATATATAATATTAAATTAAAATTTTAAATATATATGTTTTGAAAATTTTGACACTCAAAATTTAAAAATTTTATTTAAAAATTTTTTAAATTTTTATTAAAAATAATTATAAACACTTATTTTCATCTGAAATATGTAACTAAAATCTCGATTATGAATTTCATCAGGATCGATTGTTTAGGGGATTGTGGACACTTGTTTTCGTTTAGGATACGATCAATTTCTCAATCTAGATATCTTCGAGCTTATCAGGCTTTAGAGATGTTCATGTTTAGGTCAATTTCTTATTTTGTTTGAGCTTTGAGCCCAAAAATTGTTAATTGGATGCAGACATTAGGCCAAACTAATATTTATTATTATTATTATTATTATTATTATTATTCTTCCTTTCACAAGAAGTCAATAAATGTTGTTGGAATCTTGCGTATAAATTGAATCGGACGAACATGGTTTGGATTTATTTTTAATTGGAAACCAAAATCAAGTGGAATCATTGACCACAATCAAATTGTGACAAAATCTCAAAATTCAAAAATGGATTAACGTTGCTAAATCCTTAAAATTTTATTAAATGAACCTTATAAATGAATCCCAAAATCACATAGAGCAGGCAATGAGGAGAAGAGGCAAAATTTTAGGTAAGGGAAATTTTCATTTTTCTTGTTGGAATATTTTTACAAATTTGGGTCCTGTGAAAATTGGTTTCAAGGATCATGTTTTGGGAAGAATTGATTATGTGTGATTGCTAGTTTTATTTAGAATTTAGGATTTTTGGAAAAATCTGAAAAATCTAAAAATTTTGGGTTTTAGAAAGAACATTTGAATTTTTTGGCCACACTTAAAGTTTCTGGTTAAGTTCTGGCAAGTTTTCCAGAGACCAACGACTAAATCCAGTTTTCAACAATTGAATCCAAGGATTCTAAAGAGAAGCGAGAAAAAAAAAAAAAACTAGAGAGAAAGAGTTGAGAAAGGTCTGAGAAACAACAAAGGACTTTGCCTTTTATATTAGCCAAAACAACACCATTTTGAAAGTCTTAGATCCATGTGTTAACTTGCTGACTCTACTCTAAACCCGACTTGATTATATGTTTTTTTTCTTTTATTTTTGGTTTGCATTTTTATTGATTTTATTATTATTATTATTATTATTATTATTATTATTATTATTATTATTATTATTATTATTATTGTTTTATTTATTGAATAATTTATTACCTTTTAGATACCTTTATGAATTTTAATAACCAAAAAAATATTTCAAAAATAAATTCATAAGTCATACCAAACTACTGGAGGAATTTTCATGAATTTAAATTTTTATGAATTCCACCAAACTATTAGAGAATTTCATAAATAAGATTTTTTATAAAAAAAATACTAAAAATTTTATTTTCATCTTACCAAACTATTGAAAGATTTGCATCTTAAATTAAATCTTATTAAACTATTGAAAGATTTAATATATTTTTTAAAAATAATTTTATAATAAAATCTTACCAAACTATTTGGAGATTTGCATTAAAGTAAATCTTACCAAACTATCGAAAGGTTTTACAAATTATTTTCTTGAATAAAAATATATTAATGAATCCGATGACAGAACCTCTTCAAAGTGAGACACTAGTCTCCATGAATACTTTTGAGGTGAAAAAATTATCTTAAATTGCTACCAAACTATTGAAGTAAATTTAAGATTAGTTTCTAATAATTAAATAATTTGGTAAAATTATAAAAATATTTTAAGGCTTAGATAATTTGAAATCAAACTGGTATTATCTTTTAGATGTGTGCTATGAGGGTGCCATAATATTCCTCACGCGTAACGCACTCTTCAAACCTAAGATATAATTTCATTGACTAGAATCTACTATTTAAATATACTTAAGTCAATTTCGGATTCCTCTTTAAGGCTTGGATAATTTGAAATCAAACTGGTATCATCCTTTAGATATGTGCTGTAAGGGTGTTATAATATTCCTTACGCGTAACCGTACTTTTGAACCTAATATATGATTTCATTGACTAGAATCTACTATTTAAATATACCTAAGTCAATATTGGGGCTCCTCTTTAAATAGGACAGATTCTGTCAGATGATCAATCACACCTAAATAAAAAAGATTTGTGACGATTCTTTAAGTCTATGTCTAGCGATAGATTCACAGATCTATATGTTATGACAGTTTGGTGACTCCACTAGGGATGTAAGAGAGTTAGACTAGCAAATGATTTCTTATTATCCAAGCCTAACTCAATAAATTTAAGATTTTTTTATTTGTATTTTATTTATTTGTTTATTTATTCATTTTCATACATCTGTCATTTATTTGCATATGCATAACATGAGTTTTATACTTGAGTTTTATCCTTTAGGAAGGAGTAAAGTATTTATACCTTCGTGAGATTTTATATCTTCGCATGGGCTAGTAAAACACTCTCATTCAAATTGAATCTTTTTCGCTTGTAGCCATTAATGGGCAAAGATTAGGGTGCCTTACTAATCTATTATGGATGATGATGTAATGAACAATTTGGAAGCTTTTTAGAAATGACCCAGCTACATATAGTTAACCTTATGAGTTTAACCTATAGGTAGAGCTATATTTCCTTACCTTTTATAGTTAATCCAAAATTTAAAGTCATGTTGTTATTGCATTCTACTTGCTTTATTGTGTTTATTCTTTACTTTGTATTAAGATGACTAACCAATTTCTTGTTTGTCTTTTTTTTCGTACATATTCATAGACATACATACAGATTGTATATTATTTATGCCTTAAAGATATCTTCAACAAAAGTTTTCATAGAACCCACAAAACGTCAAGTTTGCACCTCGTCTATATTTTTCAAATGTGAGTCACCCATTGATGTGAAGATAGAGTCAGAAAAAAGACAATGAGAAGAAAATTATTGTTTACCATTTAGCTATGTCTTTACCTTACTTAACAAAGTTCTATTGCTCCTTAAAAAAAAATTATCTGAAAAGCTTGAAAGACATATGGACAACACGGTTCCTTCAATACAACAAGCTTTTTGCCAAAAGTTTAGGTATGTTGTCAATCTCTTGTCAGTAAAAGTTAAAAACTCACTCATCAAGGCAATGTTACACTTTTGGAATCCCTTCCATCGCTATTTCATTTTTAATGAAGTTGATTTGGTGTCAACTATAGAAGAGTATTCGATTTTAATGGATATGCATGTTTAGTATCAAGATAAAGTATACAAAAAGAAACAAAAGTCAGGATATCGTAAAAAATTGGCTTATATTTTGGGGATGAAAAAGAAGCTCATACATTTACATATTCAAGAAAATGGAAGGCATAAACATATTCCATAGGAGTTTCTCTGAGATTTCATTGTTAAGCATCATGATGATAACCAAGGAATGAATGCATTTACTCTAGCAATATATAAGATGGTGATCTTCCCCAAAATCTTAGGGTATATTGAGATAGATGTGGTGAATTTATTGAATAGATTGAAAGAGGATGTAATCATTCACTAGTGATATTGATGAAAACCATTAGATCTTCAAATTTTTGTAGACAGAATGATAAAGCATATTTTTTAGGTTGCATTCCATTATTGTATTTATGGCTAAAGTCATTTAGAATGTAAAACGAGTGTTTTCTCAAACTCTATTTTCGCAATTGAAATCCAGTTAAGAAATTTTATGAAAGTAAATGGCCAAAAACAAAGACCCAAAAAGAACAGGAATATTTACTGCAGAAGCTTACAGTTTATCAAGTGAAATGTTTAATTCCATGGATGAATTAAGAACCTATATTGTATCTATATGGAGATGAGATAGGGGTTCCACTTTTAAACTTATGAGGGTTAACATATTATGCACCGTTGATGGTAAAAAAATAGTGTAATATTGAATAATTCATTCTTATGACATACTGGCTCAACTAATTTGACTGTTTATATGAAAAACCTCAAACATTTTAAAAAATTGACAACATGATTAAGGCTTGAAAAAAGTCAAGGAGAGTAAGCCTTAGACCATTTACTGATAAAGTCACTTAGGGATATTTGGTATAGAGAGCCAAGAAGGGCAAAAAAGTTATGTCTACATTCAAGGATCATTGCTAGTCAGTAAATCAGAAGTTAAATGAGGTACCTTCAAAGTTAAAATTTACAAAGAAAGAATTTAAAATTGAAAAAGATAAAATGAAGCAAGGGATTCTAAGACTTCAAAAAGAAAATAAGCAATGAAAAGATAAAGCAAAAAAGTTAGACTGTCTAAGTCTATAAGATTTTCAAGGAGCATGATATAATAGTTAAAGATTTGGTTAAACTTCATCAATAACACAAGAGACTAGAAGTTGAAAGCAAAGCTCAAAAGGTTGTTAGAGAACGTGATAATACTCTTAAGGAATTGA